TATATATTATAATATATTATGTGATGTAATATGTGTGTGTGTGTGTGTGTGTGTGTGTGTGTGTGTGTGTGTGTGTGTGTGTGTGTGTGTGTGTGTGTGTGTGTGTGTTGTGTATGTGTAGTGTGTGTGTGTGTGTGGTTGTGTGTTGTGTATGTTTGTGTGAGTGTGTGTTTGCGTATCAAATGTGTGCATATATGTATAAACTGCTACTTTTACCTATAAGCAATGCAAAATGTTATTCTCTTACTTGGGCGAAAAGCAGCGCAACCGCCACGAACTTCCGCATGTCGACTGAATGCTTGATCCGCGTGTGTCGGCATTTGCTTCTTATCTTTGTCTTGCATCCAAATCCTCGCGGCTTATCATATCATGGTTATCTCTCATTCCATATCCTTTTTCGGGGAAATCTTTTGTTCAATACAAGTTCCCTCTTTTTTTATTTTCACGATTGCACTCTCCGCTCTGCTAAGATAAACTTCACTGAAAAGTTGGATTAGACTACTTTTGAAACTGTTCTCATAAACATGTAATGTCTGATACTGAAATTACTGTAATTTGTCTTTTTTTTTTAGATTTCAAAAATTGGTAGTTTTACGATTGGTACAACGTATTTCTTGTACTGGTAATATTATTTGGCTTAAAGTCTCAATAAAATGTATATAATTGGAATGTCTCCAGTTTAGCATTTCATCAGAAACAGTCGTGAAACAGACTGGATTTGCCCAGTCAAAAGGCAAATAAGTTCACAACATAAAGAGGGTTATTTTTTCTTTTATTTAAATGCAAATATGACTATGTGTTTCCATGGTCCCTTCCGGGCAAAACATTAATATATTTGACATGAAATATAACCATTTGGCAAAAAGCAAGTATTCTTGTGAAAAGGAGAAAGACTGAGAGACAGAAAGAAAGTAAGAGAGGAGAGGGAGGAGAGGGAGGAGGAGAGGAGAGGGAGCGGGAGGGAGGGAGAGGGAGAGGGAGAGAGAGAGAGAGAGAGAGAGAGAGAGAGATTGTGTGTGTGTGTGATAGAGAGAGATTGATAGTGTGTGTGTGTGTGCGCGCGCGTCTGTGCGTGTGTAAGAGAGAGAGATTGCCAGTGTGAGTGTACGTGTGTATGTGTGTGCGTGTGAGTGTGTGTGTGTGTGTGGTGTGAGAGTAAGTGTGTGTGTGGTGTGTGTGTGTGTGTGTGTGTGTGTGTGTGTGTGTGTGTGTGTGTGTGTGTGTGTGTGTGTGTGTGTGTGTGTGTGTGTGTGTGTGTGTGTGAGAGTAAGTGTGTGTGTGTGTGAGTGTTGTGTGTGTGTGTGTGTGTGTGTGTGTGTGTGTGTGTGTGTGTGTGTGTGTGTTGTGTGTGTGTGTGTGTGTGTGTGTGTGTTGTGTGTGTGTGTGTGTGTGTGTGTGTGAGAGAGAGAGAGAGAGAGAGAGAGAGAGAGAGAGAGAGAGAGAAGAGAGAGAGAGAGGAGAGAAGAGAGAGAGAGAGAGAGGAGGGAGAGAGGGAGAGGAGAGGGAGAGAGGGAGAGAGGAGGAGAGAGAGAGGGAGAGAGGAGAGGGGGAGAGGGAGAGGGAGGAGAGGGAGAGAGGAGAGAGAGAGAGGAGAGGGAGGAGAGGAGAGGGAGGGAGAGGAGAGGGGGAGAGGAGGAGAGGGAGGGAGAGGGAGAGGAGAGGGTGGAGAGAGGAGAGAGATGAGAGGAAGAAGGAAGAGGAAGGAGAGGAGAGAGGAGAGAGGAGAGGAGAGAGGAGAAGGGAGTGAGAGAGAGGGAGAGAGAGAGAGAGTTGAGAGGAGAGAGAGAGAGAGAGAGAGAGAGAGAGAGAGAGAGAGAGAGAGAGAGAGAGAGAGAGAGAAGAGAGAGAGAGAGAGAGAGGAGAGGGGGGGGGGAGGGAGAGAAAGAGAGAGTGTTTGTGTGTATATATGAGTGATAGATGAGAGAGCGTGTAGTGAGAGAGAGAGAGAGAGAGAGAGAGAGAGAGAGAGAGAGAGAGAGAGAGAGAGAGAGAGAGAGAGAGAGAGAGAGAGAGAGAGAGAGAGAGAAGGAGACAGCTAGATCCACATCGCTCTGCACAAGACAAGATCCTACGGCAGTTTCTCGTCGAACACAATCTTCGTGAGGATGCTGGTGTGCACGAGGTCCGCCAGCCGGAGCGCATATTCCTCCTTGAAGTAGTGCGTCGAGTAGAGCATGTTGACCGTCACTTGGTCCCTGAACGTGTGGATGTTGAAGCACATGAAGCACTTTTTGTTCCTGAGCGCCACGTAACGTTCCAACTGCGTGATCTGCACGTTGTCGCCCTCCTTCGACAGCGCCTCCGTCACGTCGGCGAGGTTGGAGATCGTGTAGTAGTAGTTCGGCTCGCCTTGGTCGCTGTAGAAGCCCTCGATGTCGTCGAACTGGGAGGCGTCCTTCTGCCGCAGCACCACCGCCCGCAGGGGCTCCCGATTGCGCAGCGCGCCTTGGAACCTCTTGTGGAACGCCTGCGTCGACGCCCAGAACTCCCGGTAGAGCTC